GGCTCCCGCCGAGACGCAGCACCAGGAGAAACCCCAGGCTCAGCGGCTCCAAACGTAGCACCCCCAGGCTCAGCAGCCCCAGACTCAGCACCCCCCGGCCTCGCACCCCCAGGCTCAGCACCCCCAGCAGCAGCACCCCCAAGCTCAGCACCCGCAGGCGTAGCACCCCCAGACTCTGCACCCGCAGCAGGACCAGACTCAGCAGCAACCTCGACTGGCTCGACTGTGTCTACCTGGGACACACCTGAAGGGGCAGGAACCTGAGGGGGGAGGGGGTCTACCGGGGGGGGAACTGGCACCAGGAAGTCCGGTGGGGGGGGGAGGGAAGGAGTACGGTAGGGGAAGAGGCGGTAGAAGGGGACTGACTCGTCGAACGTGACGTCCTGGGAGGACAGAACACGACGAGAGGAGGGGTGGTAGAACTGCCACCCTGGAGCGTCAGGGGGGAAGCCAAGGAAGACACAGGGAGCAGCACGGGGGGACAGCTTGTCCGCAGACAAGTCGCGGACAAACGCCCGAGATCCCCAGACACGGAACGCAGACGCATCGCCGACCTTCCCCGTCCACAGTAACACTGGGGACATATCGGGCCGAGAGACCCTGGGGTGAAGGTTGAGCTGATGCGTTGCGTACCGAACCGCAAACGGCCACAGAAAATGGGGGGCAGCCGCATGCATCATGGACGTACGAGCGACATCCATGACCATGCCAATGCGGCGCTCAGCAATCCCATTTTGCTGTGGAGAGTCCGGAAGCGTAAAGGTCTGGCGGATCCCCTGTGCACGACAGTAGTCTCGCAGAAGGCGAGAGGAGAACTCCCCACCTCGGTCAGAGTGCAGACGCAGAACAGGAAAGTCCGAGCCGAAGCTCCTCCTGAGCTGGAGACGAGCCTCGCGGATCCAGTCGATCAGCACCTCAGTGACAGCACCCTTGCTGCGCAAGGGGAAGACTGTGGTGTAACGCGAGTAGTCGTCAACCACCAACAGGAAGTAGCGCTCGTGACCCTGCCCACGGACAGGGGCCGGGCCCCACACGTCCATGTGAAGTGTCTGCAGAGGAGCCTCTGTCGGGGGAAACTGGGAGGAGTGAGGAGCAGCCCTGAGGCGCCCCTCGACACAGGGGACACAGGAAGGTCCTGGTCCCGAAGGAAGGGGAGGGAGAGACTGGGGAAGACCAGAGACAAGGACACGGGAAGCCATGCCCCGAAGACGGGGCAAGGAGGGGTGGCCAAGACGGTGGTGCCACAGGAGAGTCTCGTGAGACAAGAGGCGACACGAGCAGGGGGCAGACTCAGGACCAGACCTGGACGCAGCAGCAAACACCTGACCTGACGCTGCTACCTGACCGGACGCAGGGACAGGAGGAGACTCAGTGGTCAGGGTGTAGAGGCTCGACCCCGGCCGACGCGAGAACGTGGCCAGGTGCCGGCCTGTGCGTGCGTCCGTGCAGTGGGTCACCCGCTGACTCGCAGGAGTGAACTGGTGAACCCCCGCATCCTGCAGGTCTGCACCACTCACCAAGTTCGTCGAGAACGAGGGGAGGTACAGGCCAGACAGGGTGCCCGAGGGGGCAGCCGGACACGGGAGGACAGTGGAAAAGTGAGCGAGGACAGGACCCCCAGAGGGGTCACCCAGGGAGACTGCAACAGGCCGACCAAGCGGCGTGAGTGTGGTGCGGTCCCGAAAGAAGGAGCGAGAAGCCCCAGAGTCAAGTGTAAAGGTGAGGGAGGCCGAAGCCAACGTGGTACCTGAGAGCGCAGCCTCACCCGCACCTGAGGAAGCAGACTCACTAGCACCTAGAGCAGCAGCCGCACCTGTACCTGGAGCAGGAGACTCACTAGCACCCAGAGCAGCAGCAGCCTCACCAGTAGCTAGAGCAGCAGGTCCTATACCCGGGTCAGGCGGTACGCACAGGTGACCGGCACGGTCAGCACTAGTAGGCAATGCATACATGGCAGTGAGAATAGCATCATAGTCAAGAGCAAATATATCTACCCTCTGCCTAAGCAACTCCACCCATGTGGAGAATAGAGCGAGAATGAATGAACTATGAGTGAAGTGAGTACAAATGGCAAAACCCTAATTGGGTTGTACCCCCTATGGTATACCCCACTGTAGCCTACACAATAGCATAAGCTACATATATGTTCTGACAGTTCTGGTGGAGGTGGAGGCGGAGGTACCGGAGGTAGTGGGGGTGCTGTTGCGACTAGGGGTGGTGGGAGTGCAGCGTCTGGAGAGACCCCTCGTGCAGTGGCTGGTGACTCCACTGCACCTGCTGGTGGCGGCGACCCCCGAGCTCGTCAGTCGCCTCCTGTACTGCCGGCCCCGCTAGGTGGAGCAGCGGCGTGGTACCAGGCTCAGCGTCAGCAGCAGCCCCTTTCCTCCCAGCAGCCTCAGCAGCAGCAGCGTCAGCAGCTGGCTCCGGGGTCGGGGCTGCGTCAGCCCCAGCGCGGTGCGGCTTACCCTCCCTGCCCCTACCAGGTTCAGACAGGTCCTCGTCGGGGCCACCCTTGTGGCCGCTTTCACCCCCCTGGTCAGTGCTTTGCTCAGCTCACTGACACGGTCCGGTTGACCTACGGGGTTGGCGGTCCTGCTCCTGACTGGCTTCCTCTGGTTCAGCGCTACGGCTCCGCTCTGTGGGGCATGTCTGCTGAGCAGTTAGTTGATCTGATTAGTGCTCCTCATGCTATGTATGCTGTTGTTGACTCTAGTGTTTCTGACTCTGTTTACTCTGGTGTTGACTCTAGTGTTTCTGACTCTGCTAAGGGTCTTGAACCTGGGATCTTTCACTTCGGTAATGAACTGAGACTATTCATGCTGGTAACCCACTGCAGAAATGTTGGAGTCCCCGTAATCTCACTGTTGTGCAGAAAGGATGGAATGTGCATTCAGTGTACACATTCGATAAAATGCTGATAAATTTGTGTTGACTATGAAATAAAGGCTGATTAATCAGTCACTAAAATCAAGAGACTGAAAAATCAGTGTAGGTACAAAAAAGTATGCCGAAAATCAAGAATTTCAGGGAACAAACCCTGATACCGTAAGCCCCCGGATAGAAGCGCAGGCCTCGGATAAGCGCCGGCGCTTATAAAAGGATGAGGGTGCTTATATCCGGTCCTCGATTATAAGCACACCCCTGAAGGCTTACGGATTATAAGCGCCACCCTCTTCTTTTTTATTATAATTTTACTGAAATCGTTGTAACGAAACTCAACATTTTCATTCCCACAATTTGAATTTCGATGCCCCCTCACCCTCGCCCAGCTCACTGGCAACGCGTCCAGTCAGAATGAGCTGTCAAGGGCGCACGTTGACTCATTCTGACTGTGTGTGTTGGCAGAGGGAGTCAATCCTTACCAACTTGCACGCGAGATTCTCAATCACAGCCTTGTACAGTATAGTTTCACATTCTGACTGTGTGTGTTGGCAGGGAATCAATCCCTCCCAACTTGCATGCGAGATTCTCAATCGAACCCTGTATAGTTTCGACTCGATTCAATTCGCAAGAACGGGATCTACAGTTTGGTGGAAAAACGACAAATTTCATATATGCTATTATATAAGCACCGGCGCTTATAAAAATCCTCAATTATAAGCGCACCCCCTAAAAAAACGTGTTTTTTTATAACCCCAGGGCCGCTTCTATCCGGGGGCTGACGGTATATGAGGGCCTGCCTGACACGCGACTGGTGGTATCATTAGTTGGTTTGAAGGCTGCACTAGCAGTCTGATTTGTGGCACCTATTATGGTAAAAAGTAAGTAGAGGAGGCACAATAGATAAGAAGTTTCAGATGTTCAGAAAATCTTAGTATGGATTCCTGAAGCAAACCGTAACGAAGGGAACATGGAAGATGAAGCGGCAAGTGATCGCGGCGGGGATCCTGCACACCCGACCATAGCTCAGGATCAAATATGGAAGGTGAACCAGCGTCTTCTGGGCAGCAGCAGTTCAGTTCAGTGCCCCACCACACCCTGCTTGAATGCGGTAACTTCCAGCTTTGTCATGAAGAGGTATGAACGAGCGAGGCGGCGAGTATTGATGCGAATACTGCCACTGCTCTATGACCTCCATCGCTCAGCAGAAGCGGTTGCTAAATCCGTTGCACTCTTTCCCGTGAGGTAAATGTCTGAGAAGCAACTGCCATGGGTAGGGAGACGCGCTCTTGGCGCCTCGCAGCTTCACTGCTCTCCAAAGACTTGGCCTCCTTGGTCCAATTTCAAGCCACGCTCTCGATTTCGCTGCCTTCTGCTCACCGCTCTCCTCCGCCGTGACCCTCAAGCATCTCTAGGTTGCTCCCCAGCGTATTCGTAGCCTTTTCACCAGACGCATTCGCATTATTTAACTACTGTACATACCTCGCTAGACTGCGGCCCGTGACATCCTCAAATTCGTTACTTTTGCCCAATCCAAGCCCGCACGAGTATCCTGAACGAGGCTGCCAGCTGCCAGCGTTCCGGTTGTAATCAACATCCTAGCCTAGACCCCAACCCCTCAGCTCCCCAGGCTCCCCGTCTCTGTCGTGTCGCACATATCTCGTACAAGTTCTCTTGACGATATTTTTGCCCGACCTTTCTTTAAGGATTGCCAGATCCAACGTAGCCTTGTAGCTACTTGTTTCCCGAAGTAGCAATCTTCGATATCCGCCTTCCATGCGAGAACGGTCCAGCTAGTTTACCAGCCGTAATAGCGTCCACGAGAGAGAAGAGAAGCACCTAAGGATCGGGAACTCTTTGTTCAACATACCACTTCATGACTCCATAGCTTCAGAGGGATAGAGGGAGCTCGTGTAGGCCACACGCACACGGACATCAATCCGAATTGTGTGCTCTCTTCAGAAGCTTGAGACAGCTTACTCCCCGCACGCACGTCATTATCAAGCCTGTGCTCGCTCGAGCGCACTAACGAGCTTTGTGCCACGAGCAAGGCTTTGATCACAGCGAGATTCAAGTTTTTCAGGAGTTGTGAAAGTCTCCTCGTTCCTGCTGACCAGCCAATGCTTTCCATGGGTCTTGCAACTTCTCATCAATTGCCTGCTATCCACGCCTCAAGGCGCTTCAAAACAAGCCCGATTCCAACTCTTGTGCTGGTTACCACTCTTGTGGTGCTTGCTGCGTTTCACGGTCAAGCGAACGCCGCAAAAACTAGCAACAGGAGCAGCAGCAGCAACAGCAGCAGCAGTGGAGAGGGAGGGGGTGGGGGGGTGGTGTGGGAGTTGGAGGAAGGGCGAGTCGTGAATCCTGGTTTCACAAAGTCCAGGACGACAGATAACCCCGAGTGGCTCGCCAACCTGCAAGGTGAGCTATCGAATCCACCCCAAAGTCCTCTTCAAAGTACATCCATTCTCTGCTGACTTTTGAGGCGCCTCAAAAGTCGTTTTGAGGCGCCTCAGAAGTTGGTTCGCCAAGATGCAAGGTGAGCCACCGAATTCACTCCAAAGCCCTCCTCTTGTCCTGAACCTCTCCTAATGTAATCTAGAATTTGCGACTGCTCTTCTCTCTCCCCGGTCGTTTTCCTGTCCCCTCTCTCCTGCCTCCCGCCTATCTGCTACCCTCTCCAGTTTCCCCCTCCCCTCACTTTTATCCCCTCTTCTGTCTTCTCTCTCCTCTTCTGTCTTCTCTCTCCTCTTCTGTCTTCTCTCTCCTCTCCGCTCGCTCGTTCCCCTCCCCTCCTCTCTCACCTCATTCGAATCAAATCCTGCAGCCGGATTGTTCATCAACTGCGGAGGACCCAACGTGACCACCCTCTGGTTCGCCGACAGCACTGCCATCACTTGGACCTCCGATGCCCCTCTCATGACCCTCGGCGCGCCCTTCACTATCACTCCTGCTGCTGCTGGCAACCGGAGCAACAGCAGCAGCTCAACGCCCTTGATGGGCATACGGCCGTTGGCAGGAGTGCAGCGGAACGGGAGTAGTGCTGCAGGGAATGGTACCAGTGGAAGGAGCAACGGCTCGATTGTAGAATTTACTGTCAGCACTTTCAACAGCACTGCCGCCAACGGCACTGCAACCAACGGCACTGCAACCAACGGCACTGCAACCAACGGCCTCACAACCAACAGCACCACAAGCACCAGCTCTCCACCCACCGCTGCTCCATCCCGCACACCTTCCAGCATACCTATACCCTCCCCCAAGAACAAGACCTCCACGACACCTTCAGACACCATCCCAATCACCCCTCCCTCAACCGAATCCAAAACCCTCCTCACCTTCTCCGACCCCTCTCTAGCCCTCATGGCGCCCATATTCGAATCCGCCAGGGCGTTCAACGCGCGGGATGGACTCACTCTCTGGTACTCTCTCCCTGTGCCCGAACCTGCCTACTACGTGGTGCGGCTGTACTTTGCAGAGCTTGTGAACCGAGTGCCAGGAGCAAGGCGGTTCAATGTGAGCGTGGAGGGAACCGAGGTGCTGCCTGCGTTTGCCATCGGGCAACGGTTCCCCACTGTGGATCGCACCCGCGCAGCTGCTGCTGGGGCTGCTGGCGGTGGTTTTGGGCGGGGTTTCAGTGGTATCAGTGCTGCCAAGGTTGTTTCGACGGTCACGAACAGTGACCTTGTTAGCATAGCCAGCAGCAGCAGTACTGCTGCCGGAAGTGGCAGCAACACCAGCGCCAATACCGGCGCCAACATCAGCACCAGGCTTACCAACAAGCGCAGGAACAATAGGAGCATCAGCAGCAGCGCCAACAGCAGCGCCAACAGCAGCGCCAACATCACCAACAGTGCCAACAGCACCAGCAGCAGCGCCAACAGCACCAGCAGCAGCGCCAACAGCACCAGCAGCAGCGCCAACAGCACCAGCAGCAGCGCCAACAGCACCAGCAGCATCGCCAACAGCACCAGCAGCATCGCCAACAGCACCAGCAGCATCGCCAACAGCACCAGCAGCATCGCCAACAGCACCAGCAGCAGCAGCAGCAGCGGCGGGGCTGTGGAGGGCGATGTGGTTCGGGGCCATGTGGTGGAGGTGTATGTGCCGGTGACAGACGGCTCTGTGGACGTGTTCTTCACCTCGGGGGACATCGGTGACCCCGTCATCTCCGCCATCTCTGTAAGATCATGCCAATGCTGGAACGTTGCTGCCTGGGTTGGTGTAATGATGTTTGATTTGAGGTGCCTCAAAAGACAGCGCCTCTGTGGACGTGTTCTTCACCTCGGGAGACACCGGCGACCCCACCATCTCCGCCATCTCTGTAAGATGCTACCATGTTGGTGTGGTGATGGCGCTCCTGATGCTGCCGTTGGTGTGGTGATGTTTGAGGCTCTTCAAAAGACAGATGGCTCTGTGGGCGTGTTCTTCACCTCGGGGGACACCGGCGACCCCATCATCTCCGCCATCTCTGTAAGTGTCAGGATGCTCGCCGCCGCTGCTGCTGTGATGGCGCTGTTGGTGGTGATGGTGGTAAGGACGGGATGGGAGACAGGGATGGTCATGAAAATCGGGAACCCTTCGTTGTACTCCTGTTCCGCTTACTTTTTCCTCTCTCACGTCCTCTTTTCACCCCCTAACACCCTCACTTATTCCCCCCCACACTCTCACTTCTTTTCCTCTCAGACACACACTCCCACCCTCACTACTCCCCCACACCGCTCTTGACCTTCTCCCCCATCCTACCCCCTTTGCCACTCTGCTCATCTCCTTAAGATCTGGTCCTTGTTCTTGTGTATGCCTTTCCATGCTGCGCTCTCATCCGCCCCTTCACCTCTCCATCCCCTCCCTTTTTTCTCCTGCTATCAACTCTCATATCGTAAACCCTCTCTCTTTCACTTTGTCCTTCCCCCAGGTGCTCGAGTGCCCAAAAGGAATGTACAACCTCACAGCACCGAACAGCACCGCTGTGCTTGGTATGGTTACCAGTGCTACACACCTCGCAAATGCTACGCTCTCACTCTCTCCTGCAGGCCACATCATGCATGGCAATCCTCCACTTTTGCACTCTACAGTTGTGCTGTGCTCTACTCGTGCTATCTACACCTGTGATGTATGGCTGTGCTTGGTACGCATGCCATGCCTGTGCCTCCCACACCTCGTATATGCTGCGGGACAATCAGGATTGGCCAATCCGGCCCTAATCAGGAAGGCATACGTAGAGCATTCTCTCTCTCTCTCCTGCTGGCCAGACCACTCCAGTCCAGTCATGGCACTCCACTGTTGCACTCCACTGTTGCACTCTTTTTTTGTTAGGTGCTTCAAAAGCACTCACTCTCTCCTGCTGGCCAGGCCACTCCAACCGTGGCATTCCCCTGTTGCACTCCTCAAATGTGCTCTACTCTTGGCTCCATACTGCTGTCATGTCATGCATGCTTGTGTTGTGCTTGGTAGGTCGAGGCTCACACATGCACAGAGGGCGACCACATACTAATAAACACATACACATACTGGTAGTTGGGGGGCACATAAAAAGGAAAGGGAGCACTTTAGTTGCCTTGCTGCAAGCTAACCAGCCAGCTTCCAGCAGGACCCTATCCCATCCCTCCTTCCCTTCCACCATTGAACCACCTTTCAACCACCCCCCTCCCTCACTCTGCCCTCCCCCACACCACACGCCACGCCATCCAGCCTCGCTCTACCACATGAGGGCGGGACTGCCGCCCAAATTTGTGATGTATACATTGTGCTTGGTTGATCAATTTAGACCGTTCCGCCCCCCCTTGTCCCCATCCAGCTTCGCTGTACCACATTGGGGCGGGATTGACACCCAACTCGTTCTTCCTGGACGCCATTGGCCGCTCGTGGCTGCCTGACACGCCGTACCTTGCCGCCCCTTCGCCGGCCAACACAATGACTGTGGACAACGCTCCTGGGGTGAGTGGGAACGCTCAAAAGTTGCCAGTCCTCCTCGCTCCCCATGATCCTTCTTTCCTCAGCTTCATGTAACACCGAGTAACAACCTTCTTCAATCATTTCGATCCACATCAGTCGCTCGGCCCTCGCTTACACCCATTCATCGTCCTCCCTTTTTCCTTGCGTCATTTTCTTTCTACTTCCTTTCCTTCGTCCCTTCTGTTTTCACTCTCCTTTGTCAACCGCCTACTGTCTTCAGCTTAAATCTACCTAATGCTCTACGTATGCCTTCCTGATTTCTCTATCATTCACTCTCCTCCATCTTTCGTCCCATTTGACTATCTCTCTCTCACTCCCCTGCTTCCTCTGTTCACCAATCATCGGCCTCCAATACCCACCCACCATGTCTCCCTTCCCCTCACTCGCCGTATCTCTGCCCCACTCTCCTTCTCTCAATTCAGTCACTCCCTGCTTCACTCAATCTAGCTCCCTGCCTTCACTCTCTCCCCCTCTCCCTCTCCCCCCCGCCCACAGATTTACAACTCGCTGTTCTCAATGGAGAACGGAGACAACCCCAACATGCCGCCAGATGCCGTATTCACTGTCAGTACTCCCTCCCCTGCCTCCATGCCGTATTCACTGTCAGTACTCCCTCCTCTGCCTCCATGCCGTATTCACTGTCAGTACTCCCTCCCCTGCCTCCATGCCGTATTCACTGTCAGTACTCCCTCCCCTGCCTCCATGCGTATGCTTCATGCATGCATGCTTGCATCTAAGCCTTACGGCTCATCTCTCGAGCACTCGCCCCGTCTCTTGCATTCCACCGTGCTTGCCTCTCTCACGAATCTCGTTGCCTGCAATTGTAACGAGGTGACTTTTGAGTCGACTCAAAAGTCCACTGTGCTTGCCTCTCGCACGAATCTCGTCGCCTCACCAATCTGCTCTGACTTTCGCCCCTCTCGCGTTTCGTTTGTCTGCCAGACTGGGAAAGCAAGCAGATGGGGGCGTGTGCCCTCAGCAAGCGAAGCCAAGCCACCAATCTCATCCACCCCTTGTTTCTGCGTTGCATCGCGTGCATCACGCCCGCCTCTGACAAACAACCCTGCAGAAATGGCGCACAACTGTGAACGGGCACGAGACGGAGCCGCAGGCGCGGTTCAAGGCGCACACGCTGCAGTACGTCTTCCCCGTGCCGCCCTCCACGCCCCTTGCTGTCTTCCTCGGCTTCCGAGACGGGCTGTTTGATTTTCCGGTACGACGGGCTGTTCTGTTTCATGCCATACCATGCCACACGCCATGCCACGCCACGCCACGCGCCATGCCACGCCACGCCACGCCACGCCACGCCACGCCATGCCATGCCATGCCATGCCATGCCACACCATGCCAAGTTATGCCATGCCATGCCTCGCCATGCCAACCCATGCCATGCAGCACCATGCATACTGTCCCATGCCATGGCCTTTCATTCTCTGCGTACACCCACCATGCACCTGCTTGTGCGCACTGCCCTGCTTGTGCGCACTGCCCTGCTTGTGCGCACTGCCCTGCTTGTGCGCACTGCCCTGCTTGTGCGCACTGCCCTGCTTGTGCGCACTGCCCTGCACTGTTTGACATTGTTGCTTTACTGTCGTGTGTTTCTCACGTGCTGCTACATATGCTGCTATCGCATGTTCTGTGACATGTGCTGTGACATGTGCTGTGACATATGCCATGGGATGTGCGGCGTTGCACGGGACCACATGGAATGGCATGGCGTGGCGTGGCATGGTATGGTATGGCATGGCGTGGCATGACGAGGCATGGCGTGGCATGGCGTGGTATGGCGTGGCATCACATGTGGCACATCAGGGGGCGCGCTTCCTGCAAGTGTTCGTGGACGGTCAGCTGGCTGTGAAGCCCTTTGATGCCTTTGCTCCGCCCGCCAACTATTTGGCCAAGGAGCTTTACGGTGAGATCATCTTTTTCCTCTCTCCCCCCCCCGTCGCTCTATTCTTGAGGTACCTTGCTCTATTCTGATGCGCCTTATGCTCCTCCCTACTTCATCTCCTTTTACATCCCCCCATCACCTCACTTTCATCTCCCTCCACACATCTTCTGTCCTCCTTCTGAGTCGACTCGAAAGTCAACTCTGCTTACGCTCCTCCCAACCCTATCTCCCTTTACATCCCCATCACCTCTCTCCCATCCCCCGCCGCACATCTTCTGTCCTTTCTCCCATTCATCCCCTCTCTGCATCGCCTCTTCCTGTCACGTCTAAGCCACCACATCTCCCTAACCGATCCTCTTCCTTTGCCTGCTTTCCCCTCTGCTTCGCCACTGCCTGTAACCCCTTGCCCCACCTGCCTCTGCCAGTCACCAGCAACGCCTCTGGCTTTCTCACTATCGAGATTGCCAACGCCAATTACACCGGCTTCACATGGTATGTACTATGTATGTATGCTGCCCGCGCCTTACTTGGATTCTTGAGTCAACTAAGGGGGGGGGTGTCCAGTCCAGCTCGTACGTTTCTTGTACGTTCTTAGCGGTCTAGTCCGTTGTGTCACGGTGCATAACGGTGAAGCGCGAGAATCGCTCTACACCGTTTCTTGCCGTCCTGGGCCACGAATAATGAGCTGTAAACGTACGAGTTGGACTTTCCTAGAAAGAAAAATAAAAAGAAAAAGAAGGAAAAAAAAATGCCGACAACACCGGCTTCACGTGGTATGCTGCCCACCCCTTACGGGAATTTAAGTAAAAATGTCAGGTTGATTCACGTGCGGCAGTGGCAGGAGGGTCGCGAGGAAGCCGCAGATTCAACCCAAACCGTATTCCCTCCCTTATCCCCACCGTCGTTTTTCTCCCTTCCCCTCCTGCTCGTCCACTAACCAGGGACGCGATCGTGAAAGCGGTGGAGGTGTGCCACTTGCTGCAGTGGCAGGAGGGGCGGATGAAGGCTTCAAGCCAATATGTTCCTTTCCATCCCACCTCCCGTTTGTCCACGTATCTCTCCCCCCCTCTCCCAGGGACTCGTTTGTGAATGCAGTGGAGGTGTGCCATGTGCTGCAGTGGCATAAGGGGCCGGAGGAGGAGGGCCTCGCAGTCAACTCAAACCTTTCCTCTCTATGCTGCCGCCTCGACTCTATGATCTCCCCCACTTCTCTTCCCCCCACGCAGGGACGCGTTTGTGAATGCAGTGGAGGTGTTTCACATGCTGCAGTGGGAGGAGGGGCGCGAGGCGGCGTTCAAGACCACTTTGCAGGCGGCACAGCAGCAGGCAGACCCCACTGTCGTCGTGCAGTCCGTCTGGCGGGTACGATGCTTTGCAGTGCGGTGCAGAGCGGTCCAGGCAAGCTGGCAGGTGCAGCAGTGGGGTGTTTCACGTGCTGCAGTGGCAGGAGGGGCGCGAGGCGGCGTTCAAGGCCACTCTGCAGGCGGCACAGCAGCAATCGGAGGCCATTGTGGTGGTGCAGTCTGTGTGGCGGGTACCATGCAATGCAATGTGGTGCAGAGCGGTGCATGGTTTGGTTGGTGGTACAAGGTGGTGAGGTGCGGGATTGAGCGATTCATGCAGGGATGATTGGGTGTTAATGGAGGTGTGATATGGTAGAGTTGAACGGTGCGGGGGGGGGGAGGGAGGAGGAGGTATGGCGCGAGTGACAGGATTAGGTTCCATTGCAGGCAACAGACTGGCAGGTTGCTGAGGTGACTCGCTGTGGTTGTGCAGCTGAGGGGCTTGCCTTGGCTCAGATCCCAACTCCTTGTGCTCCATGAGGGCTTAGCTGAGGGAGGGATTAGGTTGATATGCATTCGCAGCGCAGTGGGCTAGAAACTGAAGGTTTGTGGATGGGTGCGTCTGGTTGGTTTGTAAAGATATTTTATCTTCTGAAACGAAATGTACCTTTTCTTTGTTCTTCCGATTGCCCACCCACCCGCCGTCCCCAACCACACTTCTCCGTGTCTCGCTGTCCCCCCTCTCCGTTTCTGCTCTTCTTCTGCCGCCTCCCTCCCCAGGGCATCCTGCTGGGAGTGGTGTCAGCAGTCTTTGTGCTAGCTATCGCCCTGGCAGTGCTGTTAGGCATGAGATGGCTCAATGCGCGCAGAGCAGCAGCGGCAGCAGCTGAATCCGAAAAGGAGAAGCTCCTGGGCGCCCGACCCAACAGCCGCTTCAACCGCCGAGCCAACGCCGCAGGCTCGGTGTCGTACATGGGCAGCAGCTTTGGCGGAGGGATGAACGGCAGCAGCGGAGGGGGCAGTGGGGGCGGCGGGGCAGGGAGCAAGGCGATATCAGCGTTTGGAGCACACTGCTTCACGTGGGAGGAGATGAGGGAGGCCACTAACGACTTTGCACCCGCCAATGTGATCGGCAAGGGAGGGTTCGGCCAGGTCTGTCACCTTCTCCAATCTTCTGTGCAACTCTCCGTCCCGCTGCCAAAGGTTTCTGGTTGGGTCAGGCCAAGTGTGCACCACGTGAAAGACATATGGCCTGACCACGTCATATGAGACCACGTGAAAGTTATATCATGTGCCCTGAGCTGCTCCATGAATTTCTGGAGCCACATCAGAGTTGGTATTGTGGATATAAGCAGGCGTGAGAAGGTGTCATCGTTGGGGGAGCTGCCTCATCTGCCTCTCCTGCTTTCTCTCCCACTACTCCCACTCCCCGTGCGCCCTCCCACCCCCCCTGCCCATCCCCAACAGGTGTTCCGGGGGCAGTTGGAGAGTGGGCACATGGTGGCAGTGAAGCGGCTGGACGTGGGGTCGGATCAGGGCAAGAAGGAGCTCGTCACCGAGGTTGAGCTGCTCACGTGAGAGGGTTTGAGGGAGGCAGCTAACGTCTTTGCACCCTCTCCCACACCACTCCCCTCCCACCCGCACCCACTCCCCTCCCCTCCCTCCCTCCCCCCCCTCCCCTCCCCTCCACCACTTCCCCCGTCCCACCCGCCCTCCGCGTGCAATCCCCAACAACAGGTGTTCCGGGGGCAGTTGGAGAGTGGGCACATGGTGGCGGTGAAGCGGCTGGACGTGGGGTCGGATCAGGGCGAGAAGGAGTTTGTCACCGAGGTCGAGCTGCTCACGCGCCTGCACCACCGCCACCTCGTGTCGCTCATTGGCTTCTGTGAGGAGGACGACCAGCGCCTCATGCTCGTCTATGAATACGTGCCCAATGGCACGCTCAGGCATGCACTGCATGGTGAGTGAAAAGATGCATGTCAACCCACCACTGGCAGCACCACTGGCACCATTACTGGGAGCACCACTGGCAGCATCACTGGGAGCACCACTGGCAGCATTACTGGGAGCACCACTGGCAGCATTACTGGGAGCACCACTGGCAGCATTACTGGGAGCACCACTGGCAGCATTACTGGGAGCACCACTGGCAGCATTACTGGGAGCACCACTGGCAGCATTACAGGGAGCACCACTGGCAGCATTACTGGGAGCACCACCGGCAGCACTGCTAGGCCAAACCAGAAATTATGGCCAGTGGTACTGCCGAAGGACTTATTCCACTCTGCATTGTTTTTCGCTGTGCCTTTCAGATGCTGACAAGGCTCGGGAAATGACCTGGAACCTTCGCCTCAGGGTGGCGTTGGGAGCAGCCAGAGGAATCGAATACCTGCACCGAGGCGCCCTGCCACCTGTCATCCACCGGTTGGTCCTCTTGAAGTCTCGCTCCGCTACTTGTCATTAGCAAGTTAATGTTTTCATGTGGACTGGACTCCCCCTTTTAATATTCTCCTTCTGAACATCGCGCTTTACTGCTCCCATGCACCCATATCTATGCCGTTTTCTCTGTCCCCTTTCCCCTGCCTACATCTCAACTCCCCCAGCGACATCAAGACGACCAACATACTGCTGGACTATCAGATGAACGCCAAGGTGGCGGACTTTGGGCTGTCCCGCCTGGCACAGCAGGCTGTGAGCGGCACGCACCTGGACCTCATCAGCACCAACGTCAAGGGCACCATGGGTGAGTCAGTCAATACAAGTCAACTGCGAGTCAACGGACGTCAACCACGAGTCAACGCAAGCCAACGAGCCTTGGAGTGCAAAGCTGGCGATTGAACTGGACCTACACATGCCTGGCATAGCAGGCTGTGAGCTGCACACAACTGGACCTCATTAGTACCAACGTCAAGGGCACCATGGGTGAGTCAACGCGAGTCAAACATGGTCAACGGCCCATGGGTGAGTGAGTGGGTCAAGAGGACTACGGTGCCGTCCACATGAGGGCAATCACGGTTGTCAAGGAATAGTCAAGGTAGCCATGACTATCTCCCTCTCCTCCCTTGTCTCCCCTCCTACCCCAACTACTACACGAAGCAGCAGCTGACGGAGAAAAATGCGATTCCATGAACTGCTCATCCTTCCTCATTGTCCCTCCTCCACCCATCTCCCCTCCCCCCTTCGCTCCCCCACCAGGCTACCTGAACCCCAACTACTACACAAAGCAGCAGCTGATGGAGAAAGGCACTCTCCCATCCCATGCTGTTCATGAATTCAGACATGAAGCACCTCTCCCTCCTCACTCATCTACCCTCCTCCCCCCTCCCCCCTCTATCAGGCTACCTGGATCCCAACTACTACACGAAGCAGCAGCTGACGGAGAAGAGTGACGTGTACAGCTTCGGGGTCATCCTGCTGGAGCTCATCTCCGGCAAGGTCCCCATCTGGATGGAGCCCCGCGCCCCCCCCGCCACAACCGCTGCCGCTGCTGCTGATGGTGGTGATAGTGCTGGTGGTGATGGTGGTGATGGTGGTGATGGTGGTGATGGTGGTGTTGGTGGTGTTGGCAGTGCTGCTGCTGGCGAAGGCAGTGTTGCTGATGATAGTGCTTCTGGCGCTGATGGTGCTGCTGCTGGTGGTGCTGGTGGCGATAGTGGAGGTGGAGGTGGAGGAGGAGGAGGAGGAGGGGTGGAGGGCAGGCAGGTGCATGACATGGACAGTGACGATGATGACGAGGACGACGATGAGGACCGGCTCATGAACCTCGTTGAATGGGTGAGTAACGCACAGCTTGTTTACCCCACGTCCCTCGAACCTCCTGGTTCCCTCGTCCTCCTTTCTCTCCCCTGCAGGCGTCACCGTGCATAGAGGCGGGGAGGGTGGACGTGGTAGCAGCAAGGGACTTTCCTGTTGTTCACTCTTTTAAGATGACCCAAGTGTGGTTCATTCTTGCCAAACATAGTATCAGCTCCGTCTTGTCTCCCCCCCTCCCCTTTGTCTCCCCTGCAGGCGTCACCGCGCATAGAGGCGGGGCGGGTGGACGTGGTAGCAGCAAGGGAGCTGCAGGCGGCGTCAGAGGCGGTGCTGCAGTCCATGCAGGCCGTGGGGGAGCTGGCTCTCGCATGCCTTGAGATGCAGGTGGGCCGTGTGGATCGTTTAGGGTCCTAGTGGGGTTGAGGTAGGCACATCATAGGCACACCTGACGGCCTCAGAGCTGCAGGTGGCATCAGAGGCGGTGGTGCAGTCGTTGCAGGGCGTGGGAGAGCTGGCCCTCGTGTGCCTTGAGATGCAGGTGGGCTCTGCATCCACGAGTGCATTGCATTGCATTGCATTGCATTGCACGTCTAGAGTTTAGACAGCTAGACGGCTAGATGGCTGGAAGGCCAGTGGGCTAAAGGGCTGGAGGGTTGTTAAGGAGATTTAGGTAGGCTGATTAGGAGACACTTAGCAAAGGGAGAGCTTCAGCCTGTCTTGCATTGTATAGTCCTATCTCCTGACTGACACATTCCGATCTCCTCATATCGTCCTATCCCTTCCCTCCATTCTTCCACCACACCTTTCCCCATCTTACTCCCCTTTCTTCCCCCCTCTTCCCCCCTCTTCCCCCCTCTTCCCCCCTCGTCTCCCATCTTGCTCCCCCCCCAGGCGCGCAACCGCCCCACCATGTCGCAGGTTGTGCGGCAGCTAGAAGAAATCCAGCTGGCGCTCGCAGAAGAAGACGAGGACGCCGTTCAGATGCTGCCCCTCTCCACCGCCTCCACCTCAGCAGCAGCAGCAGCAGCAGCAGCAGCAGCAGCAGCAGCCAACCTCGGGGCCTCCCTCACCGCATCTGGCATCCCTCCGCCTCTCCCTCTGCCCACGGTGGACGAGGATGCCTCAGCAGACTTCTCCCACCCCAGTGCGGCCAGCAACACCAACGTTTCGGCTTCCAACCGTGCCTCGCCGCGCATTTCCCCTCGCAGTCCTGGCAATGGGGTTGATGCTGCCGGTTCTGGTAGCTTCACCTCCCCACGAGGCACCCACAAGCCAGAAGGGAGTGCTGGTGCTGCTGCTGCTGCTGGTGCTGGTTTTGGTGCTGGTGCGATCAAGTCACCTCGTACTCTCATCACCTCGCCTTACTCCCCTGCCCCGCTCAATCGAACCTCCTCCCTCCCCTCACCTTCATCTTCCCACCCCCCCGCCCTCTCCCCCAAATCGGCACTCTCTCCCTCGTCCAAGCCTGCAGCCTGGGCCAATCAGTGCTGGCCACGTGGCACAGGGAACAGGCCTGGCAGCAGCAGCAGCAAGGGCAAGGAGAAGGGAGCTGGTGCTGCTGGGGAGAATGGCATGCAAGTGCAGGAGGGGGAGAGAATGGAGGAAGTGGAGGTGGGGCAGGAGGGGGAGCAGGTGGAGATTCAGAGCCCTATAATAGAGTCGGACCAGGCACCGCTCAAATCGGCTAAGTACCTCTCCAGCGGCCCATTGTTGTAGCATCTCCTGTAGCCCTGAGGTAACGTTGAAGTCGCCTCAGAAGTCCTCAGAAGTCACCTCGGAGCCCTAAAGACTCAGACCATGCACCTCTCAGTTCATCCAAGTACTTATCCGTTGGCCTGCTGTAACTCTTTCTGTAGCCGTGCTCTCTTTCTCCCTATTTAATAAGACATTTATGTTGAACGCCCTTTTCTAGTCGCTTTGTGAGGTTAGGATTGAAGTGTGGACTGATTAAGTTGGGCTGACAACCGCCTATGCTATGCTGGGGAATCCAAACTCTGATACAGAGGTAACTTGAGTGGGAGCTTGGATATCTGAAATGTTTGTGAACAGAAGATAGAATGTTATGAATCACGGTAACAAGGGGTCACGAGTTTGTATGCACCGTACCTTGCCCAACCAAACTAGATGCCTAGCGGACCGTCGCACCGTCGCACCAAGTCAAGCATCCCATTCAGCCACATTCACACGAATGTGTGGGACATACCCTCATTTCGATAATATCGTAGCGCATGTCACGGAAAGTGACGTCTAGTATCTCACGCCACACTTACGCCTATTTCACGCCTGTCCGTCGTCTGATGACTAAATCTCGCCATTTGACTGGCATGGCGACAGCGCACCTCGTTTTCCACTGGGGAGAAGAGGGGAGAGACGAGGGGGAAAAACGAGGGTTCTTACTACCATGAACCGCGCCTCGATTCGCGTCCTGGTGACCGCACATCAAGCCTTCTCGTGTCGCATCGTCTTCACAGTCTAGCAATTCATATACGTTGCCCGAGCACCCACGTTGCCCGCGTACCCACTTTACTGTCTCCACCAGGCTTTCCTTCTTATGCCTCCAGGACGACTTACCCCTCTTTCCTGCGCATCTCTCGTTAGTTCTCTCGGCTAGTCAGAAGGTTCCTCCTTAAACCGGTAAGACAACTTCGTCGCGCATTTGTTGCTCCCATTTCTCCCTTGCAAATTCCTGGTGCACTACTTTTGCTCTGCCTGTATTTTTCTTCCTTCCACTTTTCTTGATTACCAGGGCGGATTGAACTCGAGCATTGGTAACAGGAGTTAGGATTTGGGCACGTGAGGACGGTAATTCGGCACCATGGCTGGGGAAACAGAGCCCAGTGAGTTAACTGAAGCAGTGAGAGGGCTGCTCGGATTGTTGAGAGGGGTTTCTGCATCAACGGAAGGGGAGTTGGCAGCAGTGAAAGAGGAATTAAACGCGTTCAAAGGGGAGTTGGCACTTGTGAAGGAGGAGTTGACTGAGTGTAAGCAGGAGTTGGCACGTCTGAAAGAGGAATTGGCCGAGTGTAAGAGGGAGTTGGGAACAACGAAGGGGTGGCAGTGGGTGGAGGACCTGAGGTTGAATTTGGAGCACCTGATGTTGAATGTGGAGCAGAGATTCCAGCAGAGCACAGGCAACTGCAAGACGATGTGGGAGGTGAGAACAATAGTGTTCAGACTACCGTATATCAGAACTCTCAAGCTACTCAATTGCTTGTCTATATCATCGGCCTCCCGTCGCCCATTGATGATCTCTACTCTATCCTTCCTTGCTCTTTTTCCATGCCCGCCAGAGATTCAAGATAGTAGCTCAAAATGCCATCATTGGCCACGTTTCCACAATGGCTACCTCAGGAAAAATCGTTATCCCTTCTGCTGATGTTAAGCCCTGGGACGAAAAGGAAAGGGAGGTCTCTATCCAGGGAATACAATACAATGGAAAAAAATGAAGGGGTTGGGGAGGGGGGCTTTCGGAGGATTACGGTAAACCACCTGCGCAGTGCAATTATTGTGTGAGTTATACCGTATTCTCCCGGACATAACACCCGGGGGTATTATGATAACCACAGGGAAAAAAGGGGGGGGTCCTCTCAACGGAAAATCCTATATAATACCCGGGTGGTTATATATGGTATATTTTAATGCAACAGTTTGGGTGTTTCAATGGTCATTTCAACATCACAGTTTGAGGCAAGAATGTGAGTTTTGACGAGAATGTGAATTTCACCTTTCGGGCCACTTGCAGCGGAAGATTCGCCAGCGTGGCGACTTCCTAGAGTGTGGGATGGGGGAAATGTCCACTTGCAGCGAAAAATTTGCCAAGGTGGCAACAGCGAGATTGTGGGAGGGGGAAATGTCGGCGGATTCTGGTAAGTGCAAGTACACGCGAAATTTCATCTAGGAAGCGATTCTCGCAACGCAATATTCTCCTGAAAGGAATCAGCTCGATAACAGCTATAATAGGAATCCGTTAGAAAAGGGGGGTGTTATAGAAAATCATCCAAAAAGGGGGGTATTGTCAGAATGAAGAATGGTGTGTTCATTGATGTTGGTTGGGGTACATATGACAAACCCTAACTTCTGTACCCCCTAAGACAAACCTCACTACAGGCTACAACATTTGACACACCCCCATAGCCTAAGTGAGGGGTGTCTAGCAAAATCAAAAAGAGTACGGTCACAAGACCAGTCCAAAAGAAAACAAAGCTCAGGGTGGATCACAACGTCACCACATACTCTGAGCACAAGCAACAGTGGCCACAAGGCCAGTCCAAGAGATCACAAGTATATATAGCAAGTGTACAGACGAAGCAGGCAATAAACTCAAGTCTACACATGACTAGAACCTGTGTCAACAAGGCCTAACTGCACACAACACCTCTGGTGGTCACAAGGCGGAAGCGCCTTGGTGAAGATGTCTGCAGTGTTGGCCTCGGACTCCACGAACTCGAAGCGAGCCTGTCCACGTCTCTGCAACTCTCGCAGAAGAAAGTACCTGACGTGAATGTGCTTCACTCTGCTCTCCAGTCGCGGCTCACGACAGAGGAGGATCGACGCCTTGTTGTCAGTAAACAAGGTCGGTGCAGAGCTCGGCCGCTCACCAAGGTCGGCGAGCAAGAAGGTCAACCACCGCAACTCCTGTGCCGCCATGGTACCAGCGTAAATCTCAGCCTCAGCTGTAGAGGTCGAGACAGAAGAGGAGCGCGTGGAACGCCAGGAAACAGCTCCATAACCCAGACTGAAACAGTACCCCTGAGTAGACCTGTGAGTCTCAGCGTCGTCAGCGTAAGAGGAGTCACAGTGACCAGTGAGTACGACAGACTGCTGCCCTCCAAGAACTAGCCCCACGCCTGATGTAGTCGCTAGGTACTTCGCCACCCTCACAGCTGCCGTCCAGTGAACAGGACGGTGTCTCCCTGGCGCAACAAAGCGCGCAAGGATGCTGAGAGGGAAGGCGAGGTCCGGGCGAGTACAAGTCATCAGGTACATGAGGCAACCCACAAGCTCTGCGTAGGGACCACTAGGCTCAAACGGCTCGTCAGGAAAGGGACCAGTGAGTCTGTGGTCAACAGCGAGAGGTGTGCGCTGTACGGTGGAGTGCTGAAGCCCGAACCGCTGAAGGACCTGCTGCACCATGTGTGACTGTGAGAGTGTAATGGTGCGAGCGGCTCTGTCCCTGGTGATCTGCAGGCCAAGGTAGTGGCGCAGCTCACCAAGATCAGTGCACGTGTGTCTCTTCTGCAGTTCGGACTTCACGTCTGCCAAAGCAACCCTGTCCGGAGTGGCGAAAACGAGGTCGTCGACGTAGACCAGAACAAAGAACGGTGTGGAGCCACGACGAACGAACAGCGACGGGTCGGCAGAAGACGGCTGGAACCCAAGGTCAGAGAGGGTAGAACGCAGAGTGTCGTGCCACTCGCGAGGGGCCTGGCGAAGACCGTAAACAGGTCGCCTCAGCCTCCACTGGGTCCCAGGAGGGAAAGTGCCAGTGAAGGCCGAGGGACGACGCAACCAGACCTCCTCGTGTAGGCTGCCCTGAAGGAAAGCAGTGGAGAAGTCGAGAGAGTGTAACTCGTAGTCTCTCTGTGCTGCTACGTGTAGTAACACCCGAAGAGTGGTCATCTTCGGGGTAGGTGCGAAGGTCTGAAAGAAGTCAACTCCCTCGCGCTGACTGAAACCTCTAGCCACGTAGCGCGCCTTGAAGACCGGGGGAGATCCCGGTGGCCGCTTCACCCTGTAGATCCACATGCCGTCGACTACGTTCGCCCCAGGGGGGGGAACCTCATCGACGTAGGTGCCTGTGGATCTGTAGGAGGCCATCTCTGCGTCCATGGCAGCTCTCCACTGAGAGGCCCAAGGCCCTGACACTGCCTCAGCGTAAGTGCGAGGAGTCGGAATGTCAAGGGCGTCGGGGTCACCCTCAGGGGCGAGGAGCATGGCACAGAGATGAGGGGAAGCGGCCGCCAGGAACTCTAGCTCAAACTGCCTGTCCTCTAGGGCGTCACAGCCAAGGGCAGACACACCCCCGACGGCCAGAGGACTGGTAGGAGGAGCAGCCACAAGCGTGGTGGCGTAGTCAAGGCGGCGGGTAGCGGCAAAGTCAGTAACCGCGGCAGTAAGAGCAGACACAGAGGACACAGAGGCACGAGGGTGAGTAACAAGAGAGGCGAGAACACGAGAGAGAACAGGACGGTACGTGCGGTAGTAGTCAGTGACAGGAGCAGGGAGCGACACGGTGAGGGCCGACTCAGGAGGAGACGGAAGCACAGACTGAGACGGACGAGGTGGACTGGAACAAAGTAAGGCAGTACGAAGGTCAGTGAAGGGAACAGGAGACGAGGGACGAGCACGAGGGGAGCGACGAGTAGCCCAAGAACGAGACGGAGGAGGAGAGGACAAAGGCGGAGAACTAGAGAAAACAGCGGGGGAGGAGTCAGGCGGAGGAAACGTGGGACCGTAGACAGGAGGAGAGGCGGAGGAGGGAGGAGAAGGGGAGGGGAGACCAAGGGCCCGAAGACCCGAGACAGGAGGAGGAAGTGGCTGCTGCTGCTGCTGCTGCGACTGCTGCTGCTGCGGACGCGGCTGCTGCTGGGACTGCTGCTCCTGCGGGTCCAGCTGCTGCTGCTGCTCCGCCAGCCGCTGTAACTCCCTCTCCTCTCTCTCCAACTCCAGCTGCTCGTCACGCGCACGGCGAACACGAGCCTGGTGCCTAGTCGGGT